TCAGTAGTGACCCATCAGTTTTCCAAAGGCCACGGGCTCCCAGATCTTTACATAGCATGGACCATATCTTGAGACAGAGAAAGAGTCTCCAGGACCCACCTCCCCCGTCGTTCATGATCACAGTGCCAGGGAGCAGGCCCGCGGGCATGGGATGTGGGGGCATGTGGGTGGGCAGGCTGCGAAATGACACCTAGGTCCAAGCCCCCTGGGCGAGGCCTGTGCCCAGAATCCCTGTGCTCAGGCGACTTGCTACGTGCGTCGCTGAACGATAGCAGCAGAGGGGCCTGTTTTCATGCTAAGTCATCTGCGGTTGAAAAACAGATCCATTGTGAGGAGATGGAAAATAGATTATATGAAATTGAATAAACATAGTTTCTTGGCTTCTGTTCAAATGAGTTTTTGCTTTTATACCAAAGCTTCTGCAATAGGAGACGTGAGGAGAAGCATATGGGAGCGGGAAGGGTCGCTGTCTTTTTCCTGCATAGTTCTGCTTGCTGGGTTCCTCGCTCCTCGGGGCTGTAGGATTCCTCGGTCCTGACACGTGTCTTGCTGGGGGGGTGGGGTGAGTCACGCAGGTGTTTATGTGAGCTCCAGGTGTCAGACAATCACACTATTGAACAGATTGGATAGGGAGGCGCGGACCGAGGGGTGGAGGGGAGAGAGAGGCTTTCCTAACAGATTAAAAGAACAAGGCCAAACAGCCTACTTGAGACCCACGGTTATTCAGTGCCCTGTGAAATGGAATTGACCCCACCGTCTTTATCTGCTGGCAGAGGAGAGATTAAGAAGGAAGGGCCACCTCCCTGGCTTGCTCCAGGTGCAAACCCAGAACGAGATGGGCTGCCTTTTCCATAATGGAGGTGCCGTCCCAGTCGGTGTATCGCCTGTAAATGGGAGAACTGCATGTGAAAGTGTTTCTGCTGCGTTCGTACTTACATGCAGACACAGACACACACAGTGCAGTCCTGCTCCTTAGCCACCTGGCTTTGGAAATCTGGCCTTATATGGGGCCCTGCACGAAACAGCAAATCGGAACATTTTGCCAAAACCCAAATGATAAGATCTTTAAGAAAAATGCTCCCTCTACAGGCCAAGGGAAGAAATGGAACAGGCTTTTCGTTTTCTGTTTCTTTTCTTTTTTTCCCAGAGTACCTTATAAAGTAATGAGTTAGACGCCAGCCATGTGCAGCCCTCCTGTGCTCAGCGATAACGTGCCTATGGCCATAGCTATGAGAGCCTGCAGTGCTGAGAGAGCAGCCCTGAGGCTATTGCTCTGAGTGCCACTGGATCCTTAACTCCCTCCCGGCGAGCTTGTCTCAAAAGGAGGACGGGACCTGTGATACAGCCGGAAAACCCTGGTTACTGCATTGCCAGCTTTGGGTCGTAGCCCAAATGCCAGTAAAGAACTTGGCTTGTACCTCCTGTTCCAAGCTAAAGATGCACCAGAGAGACCAGCACAAAGTATCTATTCCTGATAATAGCTGGGCTCCTACAAATGAGCATCTAAGCGCTACTGTTACTGACAGCTGAGAGTCTTATTGAGTCGTCTGTTGCAAGTCCTGTTGCCTGATGCCATGGATTTATGGTTTAGCTGGTGACCATGGGGGTCTCTGGACATGGGTCTGTTTTTATCACCCCAGTGCTCCTTTCAGCTACTTAGTTCTTCCGTCGTGAGGTTCTCAGTGGCATCACAAACCCTGAGCTTGGGTGGCTTGTCACCAAAGAAAGGGAGCTGCAATTTCCCTTCTTGACAGCCTTCCACGCTGAACTTGTCATTCCAACCCACACCTTGAATGTCTCACCTTGAAATGCTGCCTGTTTGCATTCCAGGTGACAGCAAAGTCTGGTTGAATCATCACAACGACAGACTGATACTCTGGCGGAGGTTTCCCGTCGCGTGCTAATCTGATGGTTTATAGCAGCGTCCCGTAGTGCTCTTCACTTCTGACTCGCTCTCTGTCTCTAATGCACCATGCCCTCACATGTGTCCTGTTGGACAATATTATATCAGCCATGTTTAATCCCTGACAATTTTAACATGTGGCTTTTAGCCTTTGTAGAATATTCAGGGCCTAGAGTTAGAGGTCATAAATCCAGACCCCGGGGTAAGTACCACTGGGATAATGTGATCAAACAGTAAAATCTCATCTGGTTGAAACACACAGCAACAGGCTTTTTCTGCAACTCACATAGCGGCCTGTGATGAAAAACCCACACTTATGTGACATGGATTCACTATGTTCCAGCAAAATGCAATCCACTGAAAAGGGGTGTTGATGAAATTACATGTTCAGTTTTAAGTGGATGCTGTTGAAATAAAAATAATCCTATGCAGTGGAACACCCATTTTACAAACTAACTGGGGATTAAGGAGTTCATGGAATGGAAAGTTCATAAAATTTAACACCTCCAAATTGCGATAGGTCCAGTTCATACGTTGCTGTCTACTGCACTGCATTGTTTTCTTCTTGTTCTTCCAACTTCTTCAAAATGATTTCCAATGCATTGAAAGATCGCAATGTGAAGGGATGTCAACTTGCTCTTCATTGACATCATTTTCACTCTGATTACCCCCTCCTCCGCCCAGTCAGGAAAAATGGTTCATAAGCTTGGTGCTGATAAAATCAAGTGAGGTTCTGTTATGTTCCCTGTGTTATTACTAGCACCTAAGCTTCTTAAACCTGGATTTTTTAAACTCAGAAACTTTCCGTCATTTCCTTTTGCATTTCATTCCTCTTGGAAAGTGACATGAGATCGATGGCTTCCATGCTGGGTTTCTTTTCATTTGTAGTTCTGTTCCCCTTCTCTTTCTCCAGCACCTGTTGTGTTTCCAACACTGCAAGGGAATAGTTAAAACTTGAACATACTGTTTTCCGTATGAAGTGGTGCTGGGTTTTGTAGCTTTATTTGTGCATGTGTAACTGCCTTGTGAACTCCCCTCTAAACAAAGCCCAAGACAGGAATAAACATGTAGGGCTTTAAGACACCCCCAGAATGCATCTGGAAATTAATTTTGAGCCTGATCCTGCACAGTTTCCATGCCCTCCAAGCTCAAATGGGACTGATGAGGAGGAGGGAAAGGAAAACACCATGAATGTTTAAGCAAAGTGAGCAATGAGAGGTTCCAAATTGCCATTGGCAGCACACTGTCTGTGCAATGTGCAATGCAGGCCAAGTGCCTTTGCACTGTCACTTTCATGTCCCTCTGCGGAAAATACGTCCCCCCAAAAGAACTGAATCTAAACTCCCATTGTACTTTGCCTTTCCCTGTCTTGCACCTAGGCTTTGGGAACCTGAGCGCAGCTCTGAGTGCTCAGCTGCAGAAGTCAGGGTTGGCAGTGGGCCGTCAGTATGCACAGCCCCTTTGGCTGCATTGACCTGGGAGCAGGCTGCTTTAGTGTCTTGCTGAAGCTTATCTGTTCTCTACACAACCAAGGCCAGCAGCTGATTAGGATTTTGCCTGTTTCCTTTCACACATTTCCCTTTGATACCCGTATCTCTGCAGCTTTAGAAAAGCACTGAGGCGGGGGCAGGTGGGCCAGAGGTCGGCGCGCACTGTTCCCAGCATTAGTGAAGCCGCTGGAACGTGCATTGTGTCAAGGTGCTAGGTACAGGAGATCAGGTGAGTGATAGCTGCTTGAGAAGGCTCTTTTGTACTTTGTTTGTTCCGCCTTTGCACTGTATTTCCTCCTCAGCTCTGTGCCTTTCGGACTCCCCAGACAGCTGCCGGGTTGGCTGGTTTGAGTGAGTTGCTGACCCTGGAGGAGCCAGGCATTTGCACTGCCAGAGGTTTTAGTGCAGTAGAGGAGACTCACAAGAGGGATCCAGCAATTGGGGACCATGCTAGAGCAGCACAACATAGTGGTGGGGAGGTATCGGGAGTGTGAACAAACGGCCCCAGAAGGCAAACCCGATGCCAGGAATCTTGGCCCCATGCCTTTACCTACTGGGCTAGGGGTGTGGCTTTATTCAGGGCTTGTCTGCACTTGAGGGGGTTGCACTGCTGTAGCTGCCCTAATGCAGAGAGCCCAATTTGACACAAGGGGGTGCTGTGCTGGTGTGAGTCACTATTCATGCTAGTGTGGTGTGTCTGCACTAGGGTCTTGCACTAGTGCATTTACATCCGTGAAAAATCCCCAGTCTTCGGAACCATACCTGTCAGTCAGAAAATAGGCGTGCTAGGATCTGCTGAACTGACTGAGTTCCCTTCCTGAGAGCAGGGTGGAGTGTAAAACCAGGGCTTCCCCACTTACGGCTGCTGAGACCCTGGTTTTACCCCACTGTCCACAGACAGGCCCAGGGCTGTGTGCCAAGCCTCACAGCCAATGCCCCTGTATACAAATCAGCTGTATGGGGAGACCAGTTATTCATCTAGCTAGCCCACTGCACACAAACACCTGTTTTGGGCATGCAGTTGTGCTAAATGCGAATGCAAATCAATGGCACCACTGTAACACCATTTTGGATGCGCAATTGCTCATGCATATTTTTGAATGTCAAGCCCTAAAAGCCTCCTGACTTTAAAAGCCCAATGGTATTTCCCCCCCAGAATCAATGATGTTAAGCTATTCTCAGCATCCCAGCCAACATGGAGAGTCTTCAGATATGTTAAGGGCTGTTATAAAGAGATTGTGCTCAGTTGTTCTCCACGCCCACTGAAGGTAGGACCACAAGTAATGGGCTTAATCTACAGCAAGGGAGATTTAGGTTAGATATTGGAAAACCTTTCTAATTCTAAGGGTGGCTGAGCTCTGGAATAGGCCTCCAAGGGAGGTTCTGGAATCCCTGTCTTGGGAGGTTTTTAAGAACAAATTGGACAAACACCGGCCAGGGATGGTCAAGGTTTACCTGGTCCTGCCTCAGAACCCGGGGCTGGACTTGATGACCTCTGAACGTCCCTTCCAGCCCTACATTTCCAGCAGTGGTGGCATTTTGGTGGTGTGCTGTATTTGATCCGTGTATTGGGCATCTTGACAGCGCCTGTGTTTTTTGTCCCCCAGCAACCTCTCAGTGCAAGATCCTGAAGTGTAACTCTGAGTTCTGGGCGGCCACATCTGGCTCTCACCACCTGGGCACGGAGGAGGCACCAGAGTTCTGCACGGCTCTCCGCACCTACGCCCACTGCACCCGCCGCACGGCTCGTACCTGTAGAGGGGACCTGGCCTACCACTCTGCCGTTCATGGCATAGATGACCTCATGGTCCAACACAACTGCTCCAAAGATGGCCCCACCTCGCAGCCCCGCCTCCGAACACTGCCCCCCGGGGACAGCCAGGAGCGCTCCGACAGCCCCGAGATCTGCCACTATGAGAAGAGCTTTCAGAAGCACTCAGCCCCCCCAAACTACACCCACTGCGGGCTCTTTGGGGACCCCCACCTCAGGACTTTCACAGACAGCTTCCAGACCTGCAAAGTGCAGGGGGCTTGGCCACTCATAGACAATAATTACCTGAATGTCCAGGTCACCAACACGCCAGTGCTACCTGGGTCCTCAGCGACTGCAACGACCAAGGTAAAGGCATGGGGCGGCTTGGCTGCCCCGTGGGGGATGGTGACGTTCTGACACTGTTCCCTTGGGGTCACCCTTTTAATCACTTTCTCTCCCACTGCCACCCACAAAAAGCTGGTGAGTCTCATCCACTAGTGCCAGGTTATTCAGCGGATTGAGACAGAGTCCGAGCCCAGCACAAGTACAGAGTCCGGGCCAGAAAATCAAGCCCCTCTCCCTGGTTCCCCACTCCCCACCTCCCTTAGATGGACTCTGGTTTCTCACCACCGCATCTGGCCCCCCTCAGATTGCTGAGCATCGTCAGAGGAGATGTATCATCCCTGGCGTAGGTCTGGGTTGCGAAGAAAGGGACAGATCATGAAGGGGGCAGGCCCAGGGATCTAAGGCTGGCAGCAGCCCCTGAAGGGCAAACCACAAACACACGTCTCTCCCTTTTGCCCTTCCCCATGGCATTGCAGCTGCGGTTGTGTTCCAGACCCCCCAACACCCCCCCGCCAGATTCCTTTGCAGGGCACTGCGACACTCCCATTCAGGGGTGGGAACAGGAGGCGGATGACAAGGTGCCAGAGATGGCTGGCAACAAGTAAAACTCGCTGAACCCGCCCTCCTGTTTATTTTGTGGCCTGTGCAAAGTGGCAGAGATGGCAGCTGAAGGAGCCTGCAGAGCAGGGTGAAAACTCACCTTCTTGCCAAGGCCCCCACTGCGAGAGAGAGAGATCCAGTGCTCTTTGTGCACATTGCCTGTCCTGTCTAGTTGTCCCAGGTCCTGCACTCAGCTGCAGGGGGGTGGGCAGATAACCAGAAGTTTGTTGGTTGCAGAAGAACGATGCTGCTATTTGTGTCTCTCTGCAGAGACCCCCACCGGGTGGGGGGGAATTCAGCCCCGTAGGTTACTGGCTTCCTCGGCTGTGTCCTTTTAATTTTGAAGCGAATGTCGTGCCAGGCTGACAGCGCTGAGGCTAGAAGCCCTCTCTTCATTTCCAGAGCAGGCTGAGCAGGGGGAGATCTCTCCGTATTGCCTCAAAGCCGGATGGGCAGGCGCCGTCTGGAGAGGAGAGCGAGTCGCTCAGTATCCAAGGCCAGGTTTCAACTTGGCCTCTCTGGTGCCTCTGCCATCGAGGGGGCGAGTGAGTGCCAGCTGTGATGGGAACAGGACACACACACACAATGCGTTTCATGTGTGCCACCACACAGCCGTAGGGTGGTCACCTCTGATGCTCTCTGCTGACCAGCATTTGATTTGAAGCAGTCACCATAAGGTGAAAGGCTCCCTGCCCAGTCTGCCTGAACCATCCGGCCCCAGCTCGACTCCAAACCCTCTCATCCATCCACCCCCTCACAACCAACCACGGTTTTAATGCCAGAGGAGAAGAAAACCTGGTGGAAGTGGGGGAGCCTCAGGGATCATGTTCCCTTGTCACCATCTCCATACCGCTCTGGCTGTCTGTGTGTGGTGGTGTCCCCAGTGGCTAGTCCCCCGGGGAGGATAAGTCACCTGACGTGCTGTAGGACCGATGACGAGTAAGAGAGAGTGTTGGCTGACATGGGAAAGCCTGTGGTTTGGAGCTGAAGAGCTGGGTTTCTAGTGCTGGCTTCCCAGCTGCTTTAGCTAGTAATTGTGTCTGTGGTCAGGACGAGGCATTTTGTGGGGCGCAGTCTGTTCTCACTGCGCTGTGGCAGCCAAGATAAATGTTCTCCAGGGACCGGGTGCAGCACAGAGTAAATCCAGTGGCAAATGCCCAGTTGTAGCACAATGGAACTCAAAGTGACACGGCTTAAGTGTTAAATCTGGCTTCTGCTTGAGGACGGCTCTGGAGCTGAGGGACACTGTGGCTGAATTCCTCTTTGCTGCATGAGTGCTAAAGCTGGAAGGGAACACATTTCAGTTACCCTGATCCAGAGGAAGGTAGGGTGGCTGGTGAGAAGGGATCTGCTTGCTTAGCAGGCCTTGGGGGAGCACCGATCCATGTCTGGCCTTTTTCACAGTACTCCTGGGGTGACTGAGGAGAGGGTTTGCCACCATCCCTGTTTAAAGGGGGAAGCATCACAGTTTCAATGAGGGCTGGCCTGCAGCTTGCAGGGCCCTTAGGTCCTGGAACTTATTTGGGGCGCTGCACCATGTTGCGTCAAGACCGTGGTGCTGAGAAGTGATGAGTCATTGCTCAGGGTGGCAACTCAGCAAGTTTACCCAGCAGGAAGAGCTGTTGGAACAGGCAGCCCTCGCTCCGCAGGTTGGCTCCAAGGCAGATGGTGTCTGTGTGCAACCAGGCTTTCGCTCTGGTGCTGTTCACTGGAGCAGGGTGTTCTCAGCGAGAGGATACAACCTCCAGTAACCTGGTGCATACCTGCCAACACCTGAAAGTTTTAATAGAGATATCTGGCGAGGAAAACAGGGACACACCTTTTAACTCCACTTAAACCCTTCAGACTAAGAGAGTATTCTGCAGGGGCAAAGAAATGGGCCCTATGCTGCTGCCAAAACAGGGCCTGGGGTGGCTGGTATTTTGTGGATAGCCTCGGCTGTTCTAGGAAGTATTACCTAGAATTCCCCGCTGTTCCCACCACCAGTTCAGCTCCATCAGTGGTACCCACTTTGGCTCCAGGAGGCTGCGGGGATTTTAAGCCCTGTGTTGTGTAAACCTGTGCTGAGCAGGGGTGGAGGCTGATCTGTGCTACAGCTCCCCCGTTGCTGTACTAAGTGGGACTGAACTGGTGGGAGCAGCAATGGGAAATCTGGGGCAGAATGGCTGGTGCAGATCCCCCCGAGGGGGAGAGCCAAGGGGAATGCTGGGGCCCCACTGGGAGCCATTTGAAATTGGCTTTTGTTCCAGAAGCAATGTAAATAAGTAGCAGGATGGATCCAAATGTCCCAGGAGTCAGATCCAGGAGCCTGGTTGTCAGCTGTGTATTTTAGATCCAGATTGGAACTTCACTGAGGTTTTGAGAGCACTTTGATTCAGACACATCCCTAATAAACAGACTCCGTATAAGCTCTAAACTCCCTGTAAGCTCTCCCATAAGGTATTAAAACCTGCTGTAGCCTGACAGGGAAATCCCAGCTAGAGAGAGGGGGTCAGCCTGAGCACAGAACTGGGAGCCAGGAACACCTGGGAGTCTAACCGCCATCTTGCTGCATGGTCTTGAGCAAGTCCCTTTTCCTCTCTGTGGTCGTACCACATGGAGCTGGATACCCCTCTGGCTCACAGGCTTGTCAAAGGGGCCTGTAGTGAATTGAAGAAGGGAAGCATGCGCTAAGTGTAAAGAACAATTAATAGGTCAGTGGCTTGGGGACATGATGCATATTAGTTGGGGCTAAACAATGGACTCTTCTCTCCCTCCCCCTCTGCTCCCAGGTCTCAGGGTCACAGCTCAGCTCCAACAAGTAACTTCTGTGGGATTTGGCAGCATGATCTTTGGGTTCTAGTCCTGTCTCTGGTTCCTTCCTGTGTGTAGCTGATATGCCCCTTGATGCCTGTAGGCTGAAGCCTGGTGGCCTTATGCATTAGAGGGGGAAATCTCGTAGTGGGAACTCTGTGCTTGTGGAATTTAAAATGCCCCAAAAGACTGATTCTCCGTGTTCCAAACCGCTTCTGGAGGCACGTGGTGGTGGTTGATGAATGAACCAGTCAGGCCTAAACCCCCTTGTACTCATTAATGAGATGTACTGGTGACCAAGCTCAATGGGTTATCAGCATTGGTTAATGCCCCTTTCTCTCCCCCCTATCCCCTCACAGCTCACCATCATCTTCAAGAGCTTCCAGGAGTGTGTGGACCAGAAAGTGTACCAGGCGGAGATGGACGAGCTCCCAGCTGCCTTTGCTGACGGCTCCAAGAACGGCGGTGACAAGCATGGCGCCAACAGCCTGAAGATCACCGAGAAGGTGTCTGGCCAGCATATCGAGATCCAAGCCAAGTACATCGGTACCACCATTGTGGTGAGGCAGGTGGGGCATTACCTCACCTTCGCCGTGCGCATGCCCGAGGAGGTAGTGAACGCCGTGGAGGACAGGGACAACCAGGGCCTTTACCTCTGCCTCCGGGGCTGCCCGCTTAACCAACAGATTGACTTCCAGACCTTCCGCTCTGCTCAGGGCACGGAAGGCCGGGCTCGCAGGAAAGGGCCCAGCCTCGTCTCCTCCCCTGAGTTCTTCACCTACGAAACGGCCATGGCCAAGTGCCGGGAGAAGCTCCCCGTGGAGGACCTGTACTTCCAGTCCTGCGTCTTCGACCTCCTGACCACGGGGGATGTCAACTTCACTCTGGCAGCTTATTACGCTTTCGAGGACGTGAAGATGCTTCATTCCAACAAGGACAAGCTGCACCTCTTTGAAAGGACACGGGAGCTGAGCCCAGGAAACACAGCCCCCTCGGGGCATCCCTGGACCCTCCCTGCCCTCTGGGTGGCGCTGGTGTGTCTGAGTCAGTGCTGGTCAGTGTTCCTATAGATGTGACCTCGGTTGCGGGGGGAAGAGCTCAGCAGGAGGGGATGACGGTCTGTGCTGGATGAGGAGAGGTTGAACAGCAGGTCCGGCTGGGAGCTAAAGAATCAGCCCCTGTCCTCAGAGTTAGACTCCCTGGAACACCATGGGCCTGCCCCAGAGAGCAGCCAGACCTCATATAGTCCTTCCCCAGCTCACCCTCTCCTCTTCATGCAGGTGAGGAGGGTGGGATGCCCCCGCCTCCTTCTAGTGCTCCCTCGTGGTACTGCAAACGGTTGTGGTGACTGTGATGTTGGCATTTGTGAAAGTGACTTCATGTTAGGAGAGTTGGCAGCTGCTGCCTGGGAGGAGGGGAGAGCGCCCCAGCTGGTCAGGATGGCGTGCTGGCGAGATGGGCCCATGCCTAGAGACCATCACGGGACACAGAGACAGGCTGGCCTCTGATTTTCACACCCGCTTTGCTCACGCAAATGACTCCACCTGCTAAAGGGCTCACACCCCCCAACCCCACCCCACGACTGTGTATGCAAACAGCTGGTGGTACGCACCTAAGCGGGGCCCACTCACCCCTGGGGCTCAGCCGGCTGCCTGTGCAAATGCAGGTGCTAAACACCAGACAGAGGAGTTACAACGGTGCCCTCCGGGCGCTGGACTCACACCCACACGGAGAGAGGGTACAGGGGTGGGCAGTTGGCGGGAATGGTATCTGTCCCTTATTAAAGACCCTGCTCTCCCAGCACCCAGTTCCCTGCAGGTGTCTGAGGCGCACAGTACATCTTTCGCTGATGGGCACCATTCCGGGGGGTGTGGGGGAGTCAGTCACTGATTATATTTGCTGTGCTTCACAGGGCATCTGGGAGCTAATAGGATCTGGGAAATCCCATCCTGGCACATTAACGCTCTGATTCACTTCATAGCCACGAGGTTTTGAATCCTTTGGGCCCTCCCTGCCCTGCCTCCTCGCCTCAGAGATGCAAAGGGAGAAACCTGGCCAGTATTCGAGTGGTTTCTGTCATTTGCCTTTGGCCTCCTCCCAGCATTTGAAGTGCTCCTTGTGACGTGGCCCTTTGATTCCATTAGCTCCCAGGGGGCTCAGGCAAAGCGAGGCGGGAGGTGCCAGTGATCTCCCAGATTTGTACTTCAGGGTGACCAGTCAGACCTCCTCAAGCCCCTCACTGACAGGCTGGAGTGTCGCCACTCTAGCCCTGTCCCTCTTCATCACACAGGAGGGCAGCTGTGGGGTTGGGGCAAAGCTCTAAGAAAGGCAGTGCCCAGGGAGTGCGGGGGGGAGTTTTGCTTGTTTGCTGCTAAGCACCTGCTCCTCTCCGAGTGATCTCATTTCAGACCGGTTGCACCTTAGTTCTTCCTGGCTCGATTCTGAGGAGGGCACTGTTTGAAAATCCAGCCAGGGCAGGCCCTGAGAAATCCCAGGTGTCCAAAGGCTCTGTTCCCTGGCAGTAAACGATCAATAATCTCCTCTACTAGGATGGAGTGCCCCTTCCCCTTCTCTGTGTTCTTCTGGGATTTGCCTGATGGTTTGCTCAGTAAATGACAAGACCATCTGTACCTCAGCCTGGAGCTGGGACAGCTCTGGGGGAATGCTCCATCGTTCCCACAGCACGAATTTCCCAGAGGTCTCCCCAGAAGTGCAGGTAGATCACTGGGACAACCAGCGATCATGGATGGTCTCTTGACGGCGCCCAAAGAGGACTGGATGTGTGACGTGCCCTGCAGCGCATACAAACTAGCGCCACATGGCAGCCTCCTGTAAAATACTCGCGGGGGGGAGGGATAGCTCAGTGGTTTGAGCATTGGCCTGCTAAACCCAGGGTTGTGGGTTCAAGCCTTGAGGGGGCCATTTAGGGATCTGGTGCAAAAATTGGGGATTGGTCCTGCTTGGAGGTCCCTTCCAACCCTGATATTCTAAGCAACTATTCATTGTGTCCTGCCAGCTCTAGAACTCCCATTTGTAAAGCAGCAGAGAAATGCAACGTGTGTCATTGGATGTAATTTATATTGTCTCTAATCTATGGACCCCTGGCATGGATTTCATGTGACTGTACAGATAAAGAGATGTCATTGGTTTTTAGGTGTTTAACAAAAAACAGAAAAGAAATAACAAAAAGATGTGTTTACTACTTCGCTCCTTGCTTTGTCCGCTGGTGGCCCGTGTTTCTGTTTAGGGCGATTTTAAAATAGGGATCTCACAATGTAGGGAGCTGGGGAGACCAACCACTGGAGGGTAAATCTACCAACTCGCTGGCCACAGAGCTCTTGGGGAGGGGGAGGCAGCTCGAAAAAGAAATAATTGAGACATTCTAAATTATCTGTATTTAAATTAGAGTAGCCTAGATGCCCCAGCTGAGATCAGGACCCCAAGGCACCTAGTGAGGGATAGTTGCTGCCCCAAGGAATTTACAATCTAGATAGCTAAGGAAGGAAGGGGAAACTGAGGCAGAATTAATGAAATTACTTGCCCAGGGTAACACAGCTGGGCAGTGTGAGAGCTAGGAACAGAGCCCAGGTCGCCTTTGTCCCAGTCCAGTCCGCTAGACCACATTGCCTCCCTTAAGGCTCCTATAGTGGCTATGAACTGCCTGTTTCTGAGTTGGGTTTTATCCTGGCCATATGGCATGACCAATGGTCTATTTCTGCTGAGTTTAACAGCTTCCAACCTTCTTGGGTGAGCACAAGTCCTAGGAACTGTCCATTGCTGACCCCGTGCATACGTGTCAGTGGGGGAACTCCACTCCCTTCGTGTGTTTGGTAGCTAGCAGCCGGCAGGTTCTCTGGCTTCAGTGCGACTAGCCAAGGCCAGAGTTATTCAATCACTTTAGTTCCTTCACTACATAAAAATTGAATCTTTATTGCCCCTAGAAATTGGAGAGGTGACTATTTAAAGTCACATCAGCTTTATGGTGGGGCAGTGACACACCTGGGTATGCCACAAATAATCCCAACTATATTGAGGGGTGGGTCATGGAGCTGCCATCACTACAGGAATAGTACTGCCCTGTGTAGGCAGCACATCGGAGAGTGACATTGCTGTTAGCCAATCAGTATAGTCCATAATGGCCATGTGACATCTGCTGTCAACGGTGCCACTTCCTGTCATGCCAGCATAAGAGAGGATGCTATGCCAGGGTCAGAGCTACTCTCTGGAGGAGGAAAGTCCTCCGTGATCTTGATTGTCTCTCCATAGCCCAGGCCCCCCCTAGTAGGTCAGTGCTCCAGTGGTGATTGAATATATTATGGTGGTTGGGCTATCCCTCTTTTAGAAGCAAACAGTTAAGCACTTTATTTTGGTTGTGTTTGACCCAATTCTAGTTAAAGGTGAAGTGTGGCCAAGGAAGACCTGATGTGGTTGGAATAAAAACAAAAGATTTTGGTTTTGGGATGGGGGAAGAATCTCCTGACTGCTCCTTGTGTTTTGGACCCATAATGGGTGTCACTGCATGTACATACTGTAAATTATTTATTGATGAAAATGCAAGTAAAGGTGCTCTTTTTTTTTCTTTTTTTTTTTTTTTTTTTTTTTGGACAACAACCTAGTGAGTGTTTTCCTTCTGCCTTGTGTTGTGTTTGATTCTAATCAGGAAGGAAAATGAGAAAGATGTGAGAAAGTGTGATAACACTCTAAGGACAGCCTGATGAGCTTCTATCTTCTTGTGGAATATTCTCACTCTATGGAAAATCAGAGCCCCTTTTTTCTCTTGCCATGACCCATCCTCAGCAACCTCCCCCATCTAGCTGGGATCGTCCTCCCATTTGGGCAACATGGGAAGTTTAGGATGACTGCAGCCTTCCAGGTTGAGAATCCACATACTAGGAGAGTGTGTAACATATTAGGAGAGAGTGGGTCTTGGTCTTCCTCTAGTGGCTGGTCTGCCTCAGAGGTTTAAAAGGTGTACGCTTTTAATGCTGAAGGGCCTAGGTTCAAACCCTGCTGTTGGCCCAACAGGGGGTTAGCTTTTGCCCGGGATGGAATCAGAACTGCGCATTTTCATCATGCATAATTAACTTGTGGAACTCACTCCCACCAGATACCATTGGGGCCAAGGATACAGTAAGAATGAAGGAAAGAATTAGCCATTAATATGGATTATGAAAACATTCACAGTTATAGATAGGATGAAGAACATTTGATATGGGATATAAAGCTTTATGGTATGAGCTATTCACTGACTGCTGGGATTGAGAAAGAAACTTCCCCTATGGGCATCTTATTCAGATTTCTTGAATCTACCATCAAAGCACATGAACCAAACTTTGTCAGACCTCAGTTGAGATCCACCTAAACTCGAACTGAGAGCAACCATTTCAAACTCAATCAGGCAAGATCTGCACAGGGACCACAACACTAGAAAGTGCCACAATGTGCTTCCCCAGTAATACCCACCCGGGTTGTCATAAACCACTGAGTATTTTTTCCTTTATTTCATTTCCTCTGAGGCTAGATTAGTGCTCCTAAACCAGAATGCTGCTCCTATTAGGACTCAAATAGTAGCCCATGTTCCAGCTATTAAATGAAGGCAAATTAGCAGACTACCCCAGTCCCTAGGCTTTCACCCGCTAAAAGGAGCAGGCCAGTACTAGAGGAAGAAAGCCCCAGAGCCCTAAACTGTTATTTTTAGCTGCTATCCTTCCTGACCCAACAGACAAGGCCTGAAGGTGGCTGACTGTGGCTCCGGGGGAGATGAGCTCAAGGAAGGCCTGGTTTGCCCTTTGCTGAAAGGCCTTCATACAAACAGCGTCACCCATGCCTGACACCACAGCTGGTCAAACCACTGACCCTCCCTCTCCTCTGCCTGATTGTTTTTCCCTACACACCATTTCTAAAAGGGAGCTGGGACAGACCTGACATGCCACCCCAAGAAACCCCCCTCCCCGGAACTAGCTAACTAGGATTATTGGAGGGGGAGTAGATCCTACTAATCACAGGAACTGCAGCCTGTTACTAATACCACCTGCCCTGCTATGAACTCAGTACATGGTTTACCCACAGGATTGGTCAGTGGTTTGCCAAGATTCCCCTTTGTCTACCTGCCCCTCATAGCCAATGCCTGAGCCTAGCTCCTGAAACTGCCAGGAAGGCCCTGAGATGCAGGCCAAATGAAGGCCACTTCAGAGCCCTGCAGCACCCTCTTCTACTCAGCCTTTCCTAGGCCTGCTATGCACCTTATTTATCTGCACCTGCATGTTAATCAGTTAACAGCCCATTAAGGCACAAAGCTGCGCTGGGTTCCTGTCAATCTACAGCAGTGCAGCCCTTACCCCTCTGCGTTACCAGGCAGCGGCGGTGGCGATTTTGTGGCGCGCGCTTAGGATTCAGATTGACTCAGGGCTAGTCTACACTAGAAGTGCTGCAGCAGGACTGCAGTGGCATCTACCTCAACCTGCTAACTCCCCTGAAGAGACAGCAGCAGGTAAAATCCAGGGTGGCTTCGGGCAGAGGCTGGCAGAAAGGGGGCTCCCGGAGCTAGAGCATGAGTCCCTATGGTTTGAGCTACAGGCTAAAACTCTCTCGCTGGGGCTGTACCAGCCCGTGGCTTGGGCATAGGGGGGACAAGTACCACACGCTAAGCTGTGGGTTATGCTAGCAGCACTGGTTCTTTGCATTTCCATTCACCTTCCAGTCACTGCTCTCAGCTGAGTCTTGCCACATCTCTGAGAGCAGGTAAACCTGCTAAGCCTCATTTTACACACACGAGGAAGCTGAAGTACCGGGGCCGGGGGGGTTTACAGGTGCCGCAAGGTCCCTAAACCTGCAGCAACAACTGCCAGCAGCTGTTTGCCACTAGTTGCATTCACAGATTGATGTTCCTAGGAGGGCTGTCAGCATCAGCACCCACCCCAGGCCCCTGCCCAATCAGTGACCACATGGCCCTCATTAAGCCTTTGCTCCCCAGGTTATGGCAGCACCCCTGCAGCTGGCTGGGGCAATGCAGCACGCAGGACTATACGGCGCTTCTGCCTTGCAGAGGCGTGAGCCTGGAATTCTGCACCTGCCAGCATGTGCTTTCTGCACCGTTTTATTGTGGTCTCTCAATGTCCCAGCCAGGAACGGGTCACGCCAAAGCCACTCAGTTGCTCTGGTGACCTGCTCCCCTTCCGGAACAGTCTCCTTGGCAGGAGCTTTCACTCGAAGGCCTAAATTAGAAGCTACGGGAGAGCCTAGCCATGCATTATGGGTTAAACTCCACTCTGGGCTGTGCACACGTAGCACCCATTGGCTTCACTGGGAGCTGCACCTGTCCGGCAGGGGGTCGATGCAGAGCCTGGCTGGAATGCAGACGTGCACGATGCAGATGCCTCTTGGATGTGCAACCTCCTGTCTGCTTTGGAACTGGAGCAGATGCATCATCTGCAAATGGCTTTTCTTTGAGAATCTGCTGCCCTCTAGAGGGCTGTCTCTAGAACAGCATGTGGGCTTGGTGTCCCTCCTGCTGCTGCAGGGAGCAAAAACTCCGGCTAACTGGCTCTTTGCACTTATCGGCTTTATGGAAAGTGCCCTCAAAGGAGGCGCCAGCTATGGCACAACTACCATGGCCGCTAATCCCTGGGGCTCTGTGTTCCCGATCAGTAAATGGCTTTGTGATTCGGGCCATGCGTAACAGGCAGCGCTGGGGCGGGGCCCTGCCGCTGATGTGCGAGAGCCTCCCAGGCTCAGGGGACAATCCCTTAATTTAGAAACGAATTCTATCGGGAGCAGCATAGCCCGATAACAAAGACAGTTTTGAGGCTGGGAGACTGGGTTCTAGTGCAGGTTGAGGCACTGAATGCCCTTAGGCCAGACACTTAAAAAGAGCCTGTGCCTCAGTTTCCCCATGTGTAAAATGGAGGTAATTACACCTTGGGACTGATGGATGGAAAGCACCAAGGATTATTCTTATGGAAGAGCGGTAGGGCATTGCATGCTCTCTTCTGGTACTTAGAGGCTTGGGTCCCACTTTAATTTTATGGTAGCACCTGCTTCAACTCCAACAGGAGGCTCGAGGCATGCTGAGCTGCACTGCATGTCTCATCTCCTTGCTTTAGAGACAATCGAATTCCTGTGGTTTACCCTGGGTGTCTGACTGCACACCAGGAAGGGCCAGATCTGCTGAACTATTAGGAGCTGAAAGTTGTCACAGGAAAGAACCTTTCCTCCTTGGATTTGTTGTAAAGTCACAGATTTTTATCTTCATAACCTCGCTGATGGCAACACAGAGTCAGCAGCTCTTCCAGTACGGCAGCTGGGCAAGGTCCCTGTGATGGGGCGGGACAGATCTGGAGAGCAGATCACACACCCCCATTGCACAGCAGTTGCACTATGCATTCACTCCGTGCTGGTGGGTTTAGTAACCCAGCCCTTGGTATTCAAACCCCTGCGTTTACTTGGCATCAGCTGCTGCCCACCTGGCTACCAGATGGTGCCCGTGCAGCAGAGCTATGGAAAGGAACAGAGCACCATTGTTCCGGCTGGAATCATGCACCTAAGCGAGCCAGGTGAACACCTTGGCTATGTCCCTTTGGGACTCAGTGGTTAGAATTCCAGATTGGGATCAGTCAAATGTGCAGTTTCCATGTAAATGCAAAGAAATGGCCCTTCTGTTGCCCATAATTGATGGGCCTGTGTTTGGTGCCAGGCATGATGGGACCTTGGCCTGGCAAACCAAGCAGTTCCCTTTCCAGTAAGAGGCAGGGGTGTCACTGCAGCCAGCTTGGAGAGCTTATTACTATTGTAAATCAGCACTCATTGATTACAGCACTTGTGTCCCTGCCCAGCCTGGAGGCTTTTATTTTAAGAATAAGTGCCTGTAGCTGCCCACCGTTGATATATTCTTCTTCTTAGCTGCTCCAGCACCTTCCGCCCAAAGCACTAGGTAAGCAGCCCACAAAGTAGGGAAGATTATCCCCACTTTACCGATGGGGACATTGAGACACAAGGGAAGTGACTGGGCCCAAGCCAAACTGTGGGTCAGTACCCAGAAGTCCTGACTCTCGGTCCTGTGCTCCAACCACTAGCCGACTCCATCCCACTGTGGCTGCTGTCCCTGGCTGAGACACTCTGCACAGAGGCAAAGCACCCACCCTCGCGTTCTCCCCGGGAGCAAGGGAAGGGCAGAGTAAGCGCTGACTCAGTGCACTCAGCATAGGGGGCGCCCTTCACATTGCTCACGTATATTCAGTATTTTCATTTTCAGTTAAGAATGAGCACCCCGAGCCCTTGTGCCTCACAGCACAGCAGAATCAGGGCTCAGGCTCCTTCCTGGGGAGCGTCCAGCCTCTTTCAAATACAAATAGAGGGGATGGGACAATGGATCAAAAGCAAGAACCCTCTTCTGTGAGGCGGGGCTTCACCGAACGAGGCGAGAGCGCTCGTCAGGACCAGCACTTGCGAGGCTCTTCTAGGCACGGGGGACAGGCGGAACCGATGTACAGAGGGGAGATGGGAAGAGATGGAAGCTGCTCAGATACTAGGGTGGTGAGGGCCATATAAAGAGAGACAGTCTGTCTTCACTGCACAGTT